AAGAATAAAAGATGCAGATGTAGACCGTACCGTAAAGCGTTTGTTAACGTTGTAACTTCTTTTTATTTATATAATTTTTTTGGGTAATCTCGCTCTTGTATTAACGAACAAACATGATCTCACGCGCCGTTCCACACGCGTGCACAAATTATCACAAAATGCAGGACAGCAGGAGGGGACAGTATAGTGATCTCGTTCATAGGTACCACTTTCCTTCGCATAGGATCTATGAAACACTGCCAAATCCCCCAGACAGACTGATTAATTTTATCTCTCTTTTTCTTTTTCTTTTTCTTTTTTACCATTACAAAATTAATTCAGGGTGTTTTAAGAAAAAGGAAATTAATGAAGAAAAGCAAGATGGAAAAGCAAAGGGAGGACAAAAAGTAAAGCATGGGAAGCTAAAAAGGGCGGAGAGGTGGGAGCGATTTTTCTCCAACGGCTGGAAATCACTTGGGTATCTTACTTGAATAAAATAATATTCAAGCCCGTGACTGTAACTATTACGGTGATTTTTATTTTTATTTTGAGTTAGACAATGAAATAGATATATATTTTTTATTTTTTTATTTATTTAACTTATATATTATATAATTTAAATTTAATATTTTTATTTTTATTAAAAAAATCAATTAAACATATGGTAACATGTCATAATTATAATCTAAAATTAAACAAAAGGTTGTAATTAACTATATCATTTTTCGTTTGATTCATTCATACTTCATACATATCTTAGCATAAATAAATGTTTAAATCTTTATACTAATTATTTTAAGGATTATTTTAACTTATGCTTAGCTTAAGAGTGTAATTAGTACACTTTTTAGTTATTAATTTGTTTTGAAAAACAAAAAAGTTGATATTAGTTTTAATATCAATTTCCCTGTCTTAATGTAATTGGTTAATTGTTAAAATTAAATTAAATTTTATATTTTTTATAATTTATAGTCAAAAGGTGTATCAATTCCCTTATCTTAAAATTACAGTTTAAAGTTGTTAATAAGGAACAATAAAGTCTTAAGTCAACTAGTTAATTAAAAGCATAAATTCTGAAGTTTTACAAGGTCATAGATACCTTAAATTTGTGGATTTCAACTCTTGTGTGAGGGTATTTTCTCAAAATTTTTCTTTCTTTGTTTACATCCTATCATAAACTCGTGAACTTTTTAAGTTTTCTAGTTATCATATTTTTAACTAAATGAATCCTATGCCCCACAGAAAGGAATACTTGGAGAGTTTCTCCAAGCCTATTCCTTAACCAACAAGATTTTAGATTCTTTAAAATTGAAGAACATTTATCTCTTTACTCAAAACATTTTCTTAGAGAAAGCCCCTAACATCTCAAAAAGAATGTTTCACAAAGTCTTCCTTAAGCCTCAAAGAACTCAGGTCCAAATTAACTTCTCCTATACATTACTTAAGAATCATATTCCTTCTAAAGGGTAGCAATTTCAGGGGGCGGGGGAATGAGGAAGAAATCCTCAAAATCACTAATTACTCTCTTAATTTTCACCCAGAATTGAAATGTTTTCCCCAAAAATGGATTAGCCCCCCACTTTCTAGAATCTATAAGAAGCCTCAGCCCTACTCTTTTGCAGGCACTGGCCCTATCTAATGTGTGTTTCAACTTTCAGGCATGCTTCGGCTTTAAGAATCATTGGTTTTTACTGGACTTGGCAACATACTTTCTTATATGGAGTTAAGGCCTTCTTTGGTTAACATAAGAAAATGATTGCCGGCCGAATCTATTACCAGCACGTTTTTATCCAGGTATCTTGTAATGTAATAGTGATAAAACCTCTAAATTCACCCTTCAAATAAAAGATAAGGATAGATATGTCTTTATAAAA